AGTAGACTTCAGTATTTGTAGCAAAAAAAGAGTAAAAAAGTAGTTCCTTTGGCACCTTGAACGTGAATACATTTAACGAGATATATGTCTTTGCAAGATAGAGCCACAAAAACATATGTCAAAATTAGCTTGTCTCAATAAATATATTGGTTTTTAAGGTTCCCCAGAACTCTTTGTTAGTTTTGCTATGGCATACTAACATGGTTGCCTTTCTGGAATTTATGTACTGTTTGTGTAGAAACAATAGAAGAAGAAAAATAGGAGATACATACTTTGTAAGATGACAGCTCAGTGCACTATTCAGGAAAGCACTGGTGGATCAGTTGAAGGGGTTGGGATTTGCATGTACCTGCTGCATAGATGGCCAATGGCATACACCTGAGGCTCAGTACCCTGAAGGGGTCTTGTATGTGGATACATGAGTATCCCACCACTTGCACTAAGCATAGAGAGAGCAAGGAGGAGCTGGTGTGACAGAACCTTCAGCCACTAAATGTGTGAAATACGTAGGGCCTGGGGAGCCAGGGAGTTACTACCTCTATACTCTTATCCCCCATATACTGCTGGAAGTGGCTACATAATGTAGGAATAATGGTGGGATTGGGGGATTAATTCCTTCCACCAAAGTTGTAAATGATTTTGTTGCCTATATAATAGTAATGGTATAGGAAAGGCAACACAGATAATAGGAATGCATAGCAATCAGGGCAAATTCTAGCTGCCTGATCCTATGCACCTAGGTCCACCTAAGCCCTTTTAAAATCCTTAGGCATAGGTGTGCCTGATTCTACATATGATCAGGCTGTTTAAATTGGCTGCACCTCAGAGCTCAGAAAACTCCAGATACTATAGCTTTACTGAAACAAGGGAGATGTGAACTTGGATGTCGTCTAACCATTGGGGGTTCCAAGTAAGAGGAAGACAAATATATAATGAAGTAATATTTAAAAAAAATTGTCTGGCAGCTTTGAAAGAAAAACAAAATAAAATAACTATTATCCAAAATATTTAACCATTTACTTTGATGCGGAAAACGTAATAAAAGATTTATGAACACCCCTTTTCTGAGGTCTTATAAAAGGCCTGAAAAATATGAGGGTATGTTCCATGCAGATTTTCTGTGTGTCTTTTTTACTTGGATAATAAACAGAGGTCGGTTTTTTGCTGTTGAAAAATAGGTGCTGCTATACGAGAGAAGGAAATAAACCTCATTTGAGTAGCAGGAGTTATTGAAATGTTCAAAGTAGGAATTTGTTGTGTTCAGTGTGAAGACACCCAAATTACTGTATTTTTCTTTCAGGATTTCAAACCATGGAATAATCATTTTTTAAAATGCAGTATTATTTTTCAAGCTTGCTAGTAATATTCTGCTCTCAGACTCATACACCTAGTTTAAAAACACTGCACTTTCCAAAAAAACCCACATGAACGATTTTTATAAATAACTATATGCATATATGCATTGACCAATGGAAGTGTGATATATACTACATATGATTTAGTTTAGGCACCAAGCTATGTTTCTTCCCTCCCTGGCTCACCAATAGCCTTTTCTTTCCATCAAGGAAAGACCATGTCTTTGCAAAGTCATCTTCCCTCTAAACACCTATTAATCCCACATCTCTTCACTCAATCGAGTCTTCCCCCCCATTTCCCTATATCCAAAGCAGATACTCCAGAAATTTTCTGAATGAAAAGGTAGACTTGAGGGGCCCAGCTATTCCTCAGCAGTGTTACCTCCCAGAATAGATTTACTCCTACCGAATACATTTATTTTCATAGATTTTAGAGAGCATTGTATCCAAGAGTACAAATGGAAATAGGGTAGATATAAGAGTCAAATGATGGTGTAAACCTGAACATCTTTATAACTTGAATTACTGTGAATGGTTTTCAGATTATTGCAAATACGAGAGAAAACCATGCATTTCTCAAATGCCTTCTAATCTGTGTTTCTGCAGTAGGCTTAAACATTGGTTGGATATGTGGGGCAGGTTTGCAGAACCAGAGACCCCTCTTGAGCACATGAATGCTCTTGAACCAGACTGAACAGAATGTGAATCCCCTCACTGTTGTAGAAACCGCTGTTGCAGTTAGAGAAATCATTGTTGTCTATGTACAGCGTAGTTCATACAAAGGTTTTTCTGCACAATTTAAGAGGAGAGCTTTTTAACTTCAGTTTTTATAACCAGTTAGAGTTTTTACCTTGTGCAGAAGGATTTGAATAATGTGGGCTGGAAGTTTAGAGGTGAAACCATTGGTTGATAAGTGTTTTTAAACAGGTCTTATAGGAGCAGTTACTGGAAGCAGATTGCCTCCTCTATGGGATCAAAAGAACAGTTTATTTTATACCCCTTCCAGCTTGCAGAACTCCAGCAAAGATGGTAACTGTGTACTTCAACAACTCTTCCATGTTTACAATAAAGTTTAAACTGCCTCTTGATTTACCATTTTTTTGTGTGTTTGGATCACATTATAACTTGCAATATGTTTGGGGATTTCCCAGTGAAGGCTTTTGTGGTAGGGAGGGGGGAGTTCTTTGTACTTCTCGGAATAAAAAGAAATCTGTGTCTGAAGATGGCAAGTGTATGTGTATATATACATAGAGAGAGCACAGTACTAATGAATATGAAGCTGTACTATTGTTCTGTAAAGAAGGTGAATAGAAATTATTGAGAAGCGTTGGGAGAAGTATAGTATTGTATTTGTAACAATATTGTTCTTTGTAAACACTAAACTTGAGTTATATATATATATATATATATACACACACACACACACACACACACACAAATGTGAGCCTGGAATGTTGATACTGCACATCTACTGAATGTAACTCTTCAGATTTTTGTCACAGGCCTTTTACCCCTTCTCTGTAAACAAACTTACAGTGGTTTAAGGGGGATTTGGTTTAATTTTTTTTCCTTGGCCTCTGTTTTATTGTGATGTATTCATGTGTGCTACATTCCTTTATTTAACAGAGTGCTAATATCTGTAAGATTTGCAACAATAAACAAACATACCAAAAAAGCATTAGATACAGCCAAGACTCTGTTAACATTCATTTAGGAAGACCTCATTTTTTGTTGTTTGTGCATTTTCATTTGCATACCCTCCCAGCACTCCATGAAAGATAATAAAGTTGGACAGAGCAGTTCTGAATCCTATGTCTCATGCAAAATACCTTTATTTTCCCTGGTGGATGTTTAATATAATTTAGGGTTTTCACCCAGTAGCCCTTTAACTTGGTATATTTTCTTTGGATTTAGGAGCCAGCCCCAAAATTTAGAACCAGACTCATTTTTTTTACCTGCCGTTTGACATTGCCAGGCCCTGACCCCCATGGCCAAGATTTTAAAAAGATTAACAGCATTGGTTGACATTAAGCCTTCCACCAAGTCCTGTTATATGTGCAGACAACTTACAGGTGCATTGTCTCTACCTTTACACTGGTCTTTCACAGAAAGTACAGAGGCACTGTTCATCCCTTCTGCAAAAGTCCTGTGAAAATGCAGTCTCGCCTTCAGGTTCTGTGTGAAGTATAGGGAACTTAGCAGAAGATGGGGGGACCCTTTCTTCCTTTCCTTCCAAGTTCTCTATAGTTCATAGAGACTCAGTATAGGGGTTCTTTGCATTGGAAATGCACACAAAAATTACATGCAACTTTTATTCCAACCCCCCCCCCAAGTGCTGGAAAGGACTCGTATAAGGCAGAAGAGCCTTGTTGCTCCTGAGGTCCAGTATCCTGTTAGCACAATGACCAGCCAAACACCCAAAAGGCAAAACCATATCCAACACTTGTTTCCTTTTTCCCAGTTCAAAAAAAACCTTACCTGGGCAAGAGGGGGGGAGGGCAGGAATTGTTGAGTTGTGTTTATCTTGCCTGGTAACAATTCTGGCTCTGACGTTCAGCACAGCCTTCCAGCTCTTATTGCACAGATCCAAGTGTTACCATTATTCTTTAAAAGAGGGGTGAGAATGGGGGGGAAATATGATCCTTTGTGTTGAGATATGGCAGAGCAGCATCTTCACTAAATGCTGATTTAAGACATTCCTTGCCAATTTTTTGTAAGAAATTGAGGGAAATTTCCAGAGTTTCTTCAAACAAAATGTGGCAGAATGGCCATTTGGGCTCC